GGTTCGATTCCTGGTAGGGGGCGTGCAGGAGGCAGCCGATCAGTGACTCTCTCTCATCATTGATATTTCTATCTTTCTCTCCCTCTCCCTCTCTCTGAAATCAATTTTTAAAAAAACATTAAAAAAACACACAAAATAATTTGGAAAAAAATAGGATCATACTATATATGCCATAAGCTTTTGGAATGTAAAACAAAGTTGACTTATTAAAGAAGGGCCAGACAGGGAAAAAAAATTGTCCACAACTTTCCCCAGTCTCTGAGGGGTAGGAAGTCATATTTTTGAAATGCCACAGGTAGCAAGTCGCCTCCAAAGAGAAGTCTTTATTTAACCAGCATTTACAGGTGTCTTCTATGGGCCAGAACCTGTCCTAAGGGCTTTGTAAATATTAGCTCAGGTAACGGGAGCCACATGGGTAACTTTATTATTTTTTTAAATTTTATCCAACTACAGTTCACATTCAATATTATTTTGTATTAGTTCCAGGTGTAGAGCATAGGGGTTGAAAATCATATACTCTACAAAGTGTTCCCCCGATATTTCCAGTACCCACCTGGCCTCATACATAGTTCTTACAACACTGATTATATTCCTTGCACTGTACTTTATTCACATCTCCATGGCTATTTTGCAACCGCCAATTTTTACCTCTTAATCCCTTTACCTTTTACTCCCAGTCTACCAACCCCCCTCCTCTCTGTAAACTATCAGTCTGTTCTCTGTATCTATGAATCTGTTTTAATTTTGTTTGTTCGCTAATTTTCACACATAACTTTAAATAACTTTAAATTCTCTTTAAATTTTAAATCTACATTTAAAAATTTTAATTTTAATAATATACTTTATTTAATAATATACTTTATTTAACATAATATAGTCAAAATATTGTCACTTCAATATAATCAATATCACTAACAAATACGATAAATTTATGATTAATAATAAGATATCTTGCTTTTTTTTTTGTACCAAGCCTTCGAACTCCAGTCTTTGAAATCCACCTTTCAGTGTGCATTTAACATAGTAGCACATTTCAATTCTCACTAGCCACACTTCAAATGCTCAAACAGTCACATGTGGTGTTATGGGTTGAATTGGGTTCCTCCCACAAAAAATTCCTATGTTGAAGTCCTAATCCCCAGTACCTAAGAATGTGACCTTCCTTGAAAACAGAGTCATTGCAGGTGAAATTAGTTAAGATGAGGTCATAGTGGAGTAAGGTGGGCCCTTAATCCAATATGACTGGTGTCCTTATGAAAAGGGGAAATTTGGACACAGACGTGCACACAGGGTGAATGCCATGTGCAGATGAAGGCAGGAATTGGGGTGATGCTTCTACAAACCAAGGAAGCCAAAGATTGCCAGCAATCCATCAGAAGCTAGGGGAAAGGCGTGAACATATTCATCACAGCCCTTGGAAGGAACCAAGCCTCTTGGCACCTTCTGAGAAGTCCAAGATCAGAGAACACATTTTATTGTTGAAGTCACTCAGTCTTGGGCTTATGGGACAGTGCAGTGTTAGCTCATTTAATCTTCCAGACACGTTCTGAAGTAAGCACTATTTTTACCCCTATTTATGAACCAGGAAACTGAAATTAAGGAGCCTCCTGAGGTCTCACAGCCAGCCGCAGCAAAGCCAGGACTGGGACTCAGGCAGGCTGGTGCAGGGCCAAGTGCTCACCAATGCCATATTCTTCTGTCCTCTCAGCTCCGTGGTTCCAGGTCACCCTCAAGTCCCTGTCTTTCCAACATAGCTATTGCTGGATGTGGAGGACTTTTGTTTTAACCATCTGGGTGCCAGTGGTTTGGGAGACAGATGACTCCTCTCTTCCATGGCGTGCCCATCTCCTCCCACCTTCCAAAAGATGACTTGTACCCTCACTGCCTCATGACTCGTGGGCTGAGAAGTTGGACTTCAGTGATGGTGTTGCCATGGCATGTAACACTAATTTCACACTTCCCACTCACTGCAGTGCCTCTCCCACCTTCCAGATACGCTGAAAACTACTGGCATCTCTTGATGGCCACAAGTGCCCTTCTTGCAGTCCTAATTCAAACCTGTAATCTGCCAACTGAAGGAAACTCTGTTGGGTGAATGGCATCTTCATTTTTTGGGTGAGATCAGGCTTTGCAGGAGTCCCTGCCTGCTTTGCCCCACTTTATGGTTAAATCAGTCCCACCCTATGGACATCTAGCTGGACAGACGCCACTGGATGCTCCTCCAAATATGTAGGAGTGAGCTTGGATTACCCTGGGGGGAAGGATTGGGAGGGAGTGTCTGCCTGACACAGATGTCCAGGGCAAAGGTGGCCTCATACCTGGCTGACTTGGGAGGTAGAGATTAGGCTCTAGGGCAGCTGTGGGATGGTTTCCTTGGCTCCCCCAATTCTAGGTGACCCAGGGAAAGATGAGGCCTGGTATGGCCACATCCCACCATACTCTGCTCTCA